CTAGTGAAAATTCTTGATTTAAAGTTTTTATAAATAGATAATGATATTTTTAGTGAATTTAAATTAAAAAATAAAAGGTAGATATAGTTTAGTTATATTATTTTTATTTTTATATTTTAATTTAAATTTAAAAGAAAAATAGTTTTTTTACCCACCTGTAATCGCCCGCAAACGCAAACGCTAGCTGAAACCAGCTTTTGATTTTAAGAGGTTGGGAACGGTTTGAAGCAATTTGTAGTGGTTTTTGTGATTGTTGCAAAACGTTAGCAACCGCCATCAACCGTAAAAGCTGCGTTTGCGGGTGGTAGCGGGGAAACCAGTCGGACCCTAAATTTAAAGCTTTTATTTTCAAATGCCTATTTTTTATCTGAAATTTATTCGCACGTCTGAAAAATAAAAATAAAAGGCAGTTTTCTTTTTAATTTGACAATGGCTCTGAGTAAAAATAAAAATGCTTACTAAAATAAGTGAATAATGCCCTAATAATTAGGAAGGTCGTTACAAAAAAATAACTAAAACCCTGAGTAACGGCTCCTACATTTCCGCTCAAAAACCCTAACCTTTTGCTCTCCAATATATATGCCTACGAGACAGTTAACGAGTAATACAACTTACAACGTTGAAGTCTGCTTGAATTAAAGCAAAAGACACGACATTATCCTCTATAATCAATCTCCAGGTCTTTGATTCTCTCATATATCCTCTCCTGTCTTTTCTTTTTTTGTTTAATTTGTCTTTATACTTTGTCTATTAGCTCGTTACTAGTTATTTATATATAGCTTAATTAAGCTTTAGTAATCATCTATTAAAACACTTTGTAACTCCTCCTGATTGCTTCACCTTCTTCTACAGGTTTCATCTTTTCAATGTCGTCCATGGATTGTTTAAGCCACTTCTTTAACTGGGATCCACCTATCCAGCTCCAAGATTGCTTTATTCCAGATGTGGATATGATTATCCCTGAAACCGACAGTTTCTTCTTCCAATCTCAACCGCAACTTCACTTTAACCAGCCATTGTTTCATGAAGAAGCTTCTTCACAGAGCCTTTTGGAGCTAAATCACTTAGACTCTTTCTGCGATCAGTACCTTACTCCACAAGAAATCTTTCTTCCTTACCCTAAAGCTGAAACATTCGAAGAAACAACACACAACATGGATGCCTTCCTTCCCACGTCAAAACGCCAGAAACTCTTTAACTCAAGCTACCATTGTAACACTCACAACAATTTCCCAAACCCTAATCTTGATTTCGTTCCAGAAGCTTCCATCTTCCCGGAGTTTGGAGTTCCGAATTTTCCCTTAGTGTTTCAGGCAGGCCGAGGAGATCAAGAAGGTACCAAGAAACCAACGCTTTCATCTCAGAGCATCGCGGCTCGAGAGAGGAGGAGAAGAATTGCTGACAAGACTCAGGAGCTCACTAAACTCATCCCCGGTGGTCAGAAACTTAACACCGCAGAGATGTTCCAAGCCGCAGCTAAGTATGTTAAGTTCTTGCAAAGCCAAGTTGGGATTCTCCAAATGATGCAGACCACAAAGAAGGTAATAATAATCAGCCTGAAAAATAATAATACAAATTAATTGAAACCCTATTCGTAGTTTCTCACGAGATGGTTGTTAATCTTCAGACGCAATGTATCTCTGATGTGGAAATGGAAACTCAGGTTTTGCTTGGATCACAAGCAATTCAGGAGAAGCTATCAACTGAGGAACTGTGTTTGGTTCCGTGTGAAATGGTTCGAGAGCTAACATGTGAAGAATCCATTTGGAGAAACCCTAAGCTTTCTGGAGAGATCACCAAGTTACTGTCTACAGATCTGGCTAATTAGTTTTAGTTTCAAGCCTCAAGCTTTCAAGTCTCAGTGTCCAAATTTGTCTCTTTTCTTGCTTATTTGTGTTCTTAGTTTATGTTTTGTAATGATGGTTAATGGCTAATTATCCTGGTTAATCTCCTCTTAACTAGGAACTAATACTTTGTTTGTATTAGTCTATGTATTAGGTATAAGCTATCGTTTAGTTGTCCATGTACATTATTAGCTTGTCTTTGACATTTTTCTGGTTAGCTAATATATGGCATGTCACATTTAACAAAATAACAATTTTGGGGGCTTTGTTACTTTGTGGGTTTTACAAGTATAAAGCCCGAACAATCATACCTAAACAAACTCTAATCCAGTCCACGATCTGTAAGGGGCCGTTGAGTGATTAACGCCTAAATTTTGGGATTTACTAGTTTAATATTTGTAATTTGACTTATGGTTGACTCCTTCACCAAAATAATGTGTTGACTAAAATTTTCAGGATTAGTCACAAGCTTTCGGAAATACATCAGCACCCAGAAACATATGAGGGATTTAATTTTTGGTAAAGGTAAAAGACAAATTAAATTTGATGTGTATATATTTGAATCGAGAATATATCGTTACGAATTCATCATTGCTTTTACGAATAAAAATATCATCAATATTGACATACATCAATCTTATCCTACCACTTTCTTCGCCATAATGTTATTCTGTCTGTGTATTTAATTTACTGAATTATTCGTAGTTTAATTTTTAATTTGGAGGGATTAGTCTTTTAGTAAACCATCATTATCACCTGATTAGTCTTCTTTCTAGGATTTAAGGTTTTAACGAAGCTAGCTAGTCTAAAGAGTTCTTGATGGGACTCAAACCACTATATCTTATCATAAACATTCTCATTTTTATTGATTTAGCTATCTGCCCCATATTTTATACCCAAAAAGTCATCATTTTCATTAATCTAAAAGAAGGTGACGCCAAATAGTATCCTCCATAAGCCTAATTTCCCACTAAAATCTTCGTCCAAGTTCATATTGGCCACTCAATGTCTCATCATGAGAAAATAATAAAAACATAGAAAAAGTGAATATTATGATAATTAAACGTGTAATATTCGACTGTTCTTTTCTCTCATCAAATCAAACACCTTTAACAAATATATATATTTTTAACTTGTGTGATGCAACTTTTCTTTCTATCAATCACAGTCCGATGGATTTGACAAAACTTAAGGTCACTATTTCCAGAATAATTTTGATCAAAAGTAGAGATCCCACCCTAGCGGTAATTTAACTTTTAATCATTTATTTAATCTAACTAAAAATATCGGTGACACAGACATAAAAAATATCTAAATTTTCGACAAAATAAAAAAATTTAGGGCATATTTAACTAGGAATTTAAAATGATACTTCCTCCTTTCGTTCTAGAATAAAATTTTCGTTTTCTTAATTATTGTTTTATAATTTCAATGTAAAATTTGATTTCAAATGTCATTCTATTTTTTTCATTGATTGAAATGTGGTTAGATGTATAGATAAATATATTTTTATTTGGAAAACATGCAAAATTAATTGTTTTTTTTTAAATTTGTGTGCAAAAATCTAAAATGACAACTAAAATAAAAGGTAAAGAGTATGTATGATCGAACATGTCTTTTTATAAATTAATCTGAAATCTATGGTTATCAAACAAAAAATAGATGGTGAATTTTATGTTTTAAGTGTTTGTAAATTATTGAGAGAAATTTATCAGTCAGGAAAATAAAAATTTAAATGTCATAGTAAATAAGATTTTAGATTGATTAACAAAAATCAAATTAAATTTTCATATTACTTAAAACCATCTAAAGTTCATTAAAAATTAAAAAAAAACTTCAAATTTTTGATTGAGTACGTCCCCTATGTTTTTTTGGTAATCAGCCCCTAAATTTTCTTGGGAATATTTAGATTTATACATTTTTCTAAGAGATGAAAATTTAGTTTTTATTTTACTGATGTTTTTATTGTTTTATTCCATCATTTTTCTTCAGACTCGGACATGACGCCACTGTAAATAAACTACATGAATTCAGTTTACTGTAAACGCAAGTCGTAATGATCAGAGTTTACTTCTGTGTCTTGAAAGGGGAAGAAACAAAGTGGCCAGCCGATATGGAAGTTGGATGGGTCTCTTAAAAAAAAAAAAAATAAGAAGGCTCTTAGACAATGCAATTTGTTATCTCCCCGAATACGATGCAGCTTTTTCCAGTTTTTCTATGCACAAACATCATAGTATCACATATTCACATTCATACGACAAGTCAGAATGAATTAATATTCTGAAAACATGTTAGAATGAAAAAAGATTATTAGTATATTGAAATATAATAATAGTTAATGATGGTATTCGAATTTAATTCGACCCGTAAGAAAAGCCATGAAACTAGGGCTTTCTTCCTGCCTTCCGAGATCATCCACATGCATGGTCAGAAGGAGAAAGTATTCCCACCATCATTAATTATTGTTACATTTTTTTGGTCAAATAATTGTTTCATATATATAGAGTTAGGTAGCTTGCATAGTTCCAATCATGACGAATAACTATACTCCTGAAAAACATTGAATTAGAATGTTCATTCCCATACAAGTCCATCTATGACATACATACTTAGGTTGTGAATGGCAAATATGAAATTAATTAAAAATAGTACCCCCTCTGTTTCAAATTATATGTCATTCTAAAGGAAAAAATTAGTTTCAAGATAAGTGTCGTTTTAGAGTTTCGAGACAAAATTTATTAGATTTATATGATATTCTATTTTTCTATTGGTTGAAAAGTGATTAGGTATATTGGTAATTGTGTTTTTCTATTGAAAATATGTAAAATTAAATATTTCCTTAATCTGTGTGTAAAAACCTAGAATGACAAATAAACTGAAACGGAGGGAGTAGAACATTAGCTGTTGTGTTTTTTAACTTTTAATCATAGCTTATTTCAATAATTTATTTGCAGTAAAATACTGTTATGTTTTTTTTTGTAAAAGATGGAAGTGTCATTTTCTTATAGAAGCAAAAACACAAGAGATCGCAAAACCAGGGGGGCTTTGTTTTTGACTATATAATATGGATCCACACACACAAATAAAAGTAACATAAATGACGAGATTACAATCATCGACAGTGATATACACCAGGCTGTCATTTACATTTACCAGATTAAGAGTATTTATAACGATCTCGAGGAGTCGTCGTCAATGAAATCACTAAAAATGTCGGGAATCGTTGTAATGTTCTCAAGGTTATTACACCCACCGCTATTATCTCCCGAGAATCCTTGTGAGAGCAACATAGTTAAAGAATCTTCCTCAAGCTCGTCAAGATCGGCGAAGAAATCTCCCGTCTGATGTTGAAACTCAGGTCTATATGTGTCGCCCACGTCATTATCTAACTCCATATTGTCCTGACGCTCCTCAACGTCTTCCTCCTTAACCGTGTTGGCCACATAAGGAGAAGGAGGAGGGGATGAGAATGGCAGGTGGGACTTATTATTGGGTTCCTCTTTGTTTGGAGAGACTCTGGACGAGGCAGAAGTAGTTGTGGTTGTGGATTTGGAACACGGGTTTGACGAGGAAGAAGAACGAGTAGAGCCGGCGAGAGCATTGCGTTGAGTGGGCCATGGATGATTATGTTCTGATGTGTAAGTAATGACTAACATGTTTGGATCAGTGCGGCTACGTTCCACTTGTTTCCTAGCTGGACAACCTTTTGAGCTGCTACATCTGTAGTAACCCCTGAGAAAACAAATGATTAAGCATTTAGGTAGCCATCAAAGACTTGGTTAACTATACTCTTATCAATATGTATCACTTTATTTGTTGCATATATGTATACATTGTAAGATCTTTTAATGAGAAAATAATCTTTCTAATAAAAATGTGCAACGAAATAAGATGTAACAACCCATTTGATCACTGGGAAAAATACGAGAAAAAAATAGTTCGAGCTTTTCCGATGGAATGTTATGATTATGAGATAAGTTTGCATCAAATGTCACAACAGGGAATTTAAATGCTTAATGTGCGCCGTAGATGTGTAAACTTTATACTACTCTATAGTTACATGCTAATAATTGCATCTCCAGCTTGTGGAGGGAAATCACAGCTGCAGATTCTAATCATGATGTGATTTTTTTCCTTAAGAAAATTCACTTTTCAGTATAATTAACATATATATTTTGATGAGAAATGGTGAGACGAGAGCAACATTAAAATATTATATCAGTTCTGTGTATTATCTATAGGACTATATATCATGTTTGTAGTGTGTATCCAGGGACATGGTGTTATAAATGTTATATATATGTATGTACCTGGGATAAGGAGAACCTTTGATGGGTTTTTGACCGTACTTTCGCCAGGCCCACAGATCAGACGGAACAACTTCTCCACTGGACCGGCTGTTTATGGAGGTTGGAGCAGGTACGCACACCACTTTCTTTCCCTGGCCCTTCCTGCATCCATCGTCAATCGTCAACATGTATCGTATAATATAGTTTTGACACATGTGACACGAGTATACGTGTATACATCTTAATTGTAATTTTAAATGTTAGTTTGTGATGCTGTAAAAACAGTTAAATTTTTATCAACTTTTTAGCACTGTACATAATGGATTCAGTTTGAGATATAATGGCATTGTAGTTCATTGTTTGGTCTGTAGTTTTACACTTTTATCTAGACGCTCATAGCCTTTTCAAGTTTGAAAATGTGTGTAAAGATGAAAAAGTGAACGATCTTCGAAAGAAAATGGGAAATAAGAAGTTCTAACTAAACCAAACATAAAGAAAAAAAATGAAAAGACCCCAAAAAAGGAGCCGGATGTAATGTAAGATTTGAGAAAAAAAACAAAGTACTTACCAAATGATCATGAGAATGAAATTTCATTAAAAAAACTGAGAAAAATCACAAAGGTTGCATACACATAACAAAACCCTAGGTCATTATGTCTCTTATGGTTTCACGAAACTCATGAATAAAAATGTAGACGAAAAACTAATATGAAATATAAATACAGAAAATTTCGGGAAACAATATATACGCTAGTAGATAGACAACGTTTTGGATAGCTTTTCATTTTTATTCAATATATTTTGTTTGCATATCCGATTTTTTTTTTTTGGAAAAATATGAAACTTTTTTGAGTATATAATATAGCACAATCAAGTTTTCGAGGTGAAAATGGTATGTCATTTCAGATAGTCAATTAATTTAAAATCTGAAAATAAAAATACTAAATCACATGGTGGTGTTATATATTAAACTTCACCATGAACCTAACATTAAATGATCCCGTTTAGACCAAGAAAGAAAAAAATGATAATTAAAACATGGAGATCGGATTCTAATAAATTTACCTCCTCTTTATGCCAAAATCCCGAGGGGAAGAAGAGATCTGAATCTGCGAAGAAGATGACGTGATGTTATTATTATCAACCAGTAAACAGTTTCTTGGACTGTTAGTGCTACCAACGTTGATCATCCCCCACGGCGAAGCTGATGCGCCGGAGGAAACGGCCTTTGCTGGAGAATAACCCTTTGATGCATCTTGGATGATGTTTCTTTGCGAGATTTTGATTCTTGGGAAGACACTGCATTGATTCTTGACGTGATCATCCACAGTAACGTTTGGAAACACTTCAAAATTGTTGTTGCTTTTGCTATCTCCTGCGCCGGAGAAGTTGGCGGCGAGGTTGAGGAGAGGGTCTGTCATGCTTACGAACGGGTCGCCGAAAGGGTTCATCTGACAGTTGGAGAGGTTGGGGGAATCCACGTGGAGATTTGAAGTCAGCGGCTGACACAAACTGCTCGGAGATGGACCTTCCGGTGGCCCAGGAGATGATGACATGTGTGCTGATCCGATTCCTCGTACAACGTCGGTTAGGTCTCCTTGAAAGTTGTCCATGTCTAAAGACTCAAGGACACTGCACATAATATGTCTATGATGGGTGTGTATGTGTGTGTTTATGTATATATGATATATATATATACAGGGTGAAAAATAGCAAGAAAAAGCCTTTTAAAAGATTAGCAAGAAAGAAAGAAAGAATGATTGAGAGAATCCGAGAGAGAAGTAAGATTTATACTCTTGATGGTGTTATGGATGTTGATTATTTTCTTGGGAAAATAGTAAGAGGGTGTGAAGAAGAAGAGAATGGTTGATGAAACGAGAGAGATGCTGACTTTTTAGAATGTAAATATCTTCTACCACTTCTCCATGTTAGAGAAGGAGGAAGATCAGATTTGTGCTCTCTTTATTTATATATAATGATTAACGAACTAATAAATATTAAAAGGTAGTGAATGATATAAGGAATTAATAATAATATTAGATATATACGACCAAGTCTTGTGCGTTTGATTAGATTATCTCTCTTTTGAGTTCACCCTTTAAGTTTTTGACCTTCAAATATTGAAAGATGGATGTGTATAGTTTGTATTATCTCTGTTTGGGCACACCGTGTTGATCAGTTTTTTGTTTGTTTTCAATTGCTTTTTCTTTTTAAATTCGGAACACGTAATTATATAAGTCAGTAACAATTAGGTAAATGATTGGACAGTAAACATCTCACTAGACTCGGCCGAAGCATCAGTATTCTCTTTGTCGTGTAATATACATAAAATTACTGTATTGACTTTTGACGGCTGTCTTTCAAAAGATATAATCACATTATTAACAGTATAGTACATAAATAAAATATGAATGTGAAAGGGCATATAATGAGATGCTGCACTTGTGGAAAAAAACAAGTGATTGGGAAGTAAAGAGATCGGCAAACAGCCGCATTTCTCGGAGTACGTCTCGTCATGATCCAATGCTACTGGGACACGTAATCATTCTGTAATACATTTTGCTATTATTGCCTTGAATATAAAAAATATATACTATTTGTTTGTGATCTATATTGATTCATTTGTTTGAATTATGTTAATAGTAAGTTTTTACTTTCAGTAGTGCATGAATAAGAATTTGTTTTATGAAATATTAATTGCAAGCTGCAACTGTGTTTTGAGAGGTGTTATAATTTGTTTCATATGCTAATTTACGGCCCACTGTATTTTATTTCCTTGTTTATCGTGTAGATTCCTTTATCTTAAACCTGGTAGCCTATGGACTTTGATCTTCAGACTTTAGGTTAATATATAGCGTCAAACATATTTATAATTTATACGTAACTGATGTTGAATATTGTCCTCATTTTGTGCCACCAAAAGAATTATCGTTGTACTGTCATAGTCAACACCTATTGACTTGGGGGTTAAGCAGGTTTTCTGGTTTTTTTTTTCGTCTGAAGATTATTATTGATTTGAATGTGAATTATACAAGTGGAACACAAATTTGGGTGACTTTAGAACAACTCAAAGCTAAACGAAAGAAACAGTAAATTCTCGAAATGGAAAGGGGATGAAGACGGTTAAAATAACCACAGTCGGAAGTGGGTGTCTGATTTAAAGTAGCAACAAATTAAGAAAAGAAAATAAATCAGTTTTAGTGATTTTCATACATACTAATGTGATATGCCCCTGGATGCGCTTAGTATATAATTGAAAAAAAAAATTCATAAGCTGACGATGTCGATTAATTCGTTATGTTAGAATCGTACGTAAACGACAAACTATAATTATATATTTCACCACCTTTGTGAAAAAAAGTATAATAGTAATTAATCATATATTAACTGAAAGATTATGCACTAAAATAATAAAAACGATGTATGACGAATTTTTACGTAGGTAAGTATCGTTTCATAAGAAAATCGAAGTGCCATAGTAAAAGAAGAATTCTTCATACAATATTTTTCTATATACCAACACATAATTTATAATTTACACAAATCTCAGTTGGCTTCTTTAAAAATACATACATAACTCAGCTGGTATGTATAGGTTTGGCTGTACATTGATTTAATATTGGTGCCAACTAATTATACGTTTGCCGTTATCTCGTTCTAGATTTGCCATATTGTTGCCAACTATTTATAAACTATTGTATATATATATATATACTTATATACCATTTCCACCAGAAGTTTTTAAAATATAGGGTTTTCTGGTTGATCACATATATATAAGAATGTTCATGTAGGATACCATTTATAATAAACTAAAGAATGAGAGTTGTATCATGGTCATAAATTCCTCACATGGTATCAGCACTTATGCTTGTTGAACATAACAATTCTTTATTTATAATCTAATTTCATAATTTATTGGAATGCCATGCTACAATTTCACCAACTTGGTTATTTTTTGTTGGCTAGGTGGTTGACAACACACAATTTCTGCTGATTAAATAAAATAGAGGAGTTTAAGAATCTAGCTGCTAGAATTGTATTGGTCAAATTAAAAGAACGCATTTATCAGCGGTTTGAGAAAATACGATAAAAAGAAAAGTACAGAAAAGTTTAGAAGAACGCATTTATATGTGTGCTTATCCCGCACAGGTTATATCTTACAAATTTGACCTTATATATAGTTCATCTCGATGTCATGAAAAGAAAAGTACAGAAAAGTTTAGTCCAGCGCTCTTAATCATTAGATGTTAAGAAGAAAAGAAAAACAGTATAAACAACACTATATATAAGGTCAAATATGTAAGATATAGCTTATACATTTGGACACACTAGCATGTGTTACTTATACAAAGGGTTTACTCATTTCTCAGGAAAATATAACAATCCGAAATTTCATGTCAGAAACGATGTATTGTACAACCGGCCCTCGTCTCTAGTGGCAAGCAAATTCATATGAAATGACTGGGACTTATATTGTTTATTACAATAATTAAATAGAGACCAGACGGTGCAATAAGTAAAAATAATATATATAAGTCATGCCTCCCTCGTTCTACGGTGATGCATGTTCAAAGGATTCAATAATAACAAAATTAAGTAATGGTAAACATATTGAAAACAAAGTAAAAATATTATCGACAAAGAAAATTAAGCACATAATTTGATTGGTAACCACGAAAACATGTGTTTTAGATCGGAAACGTTTTGATTAGATACATACAGTGTTTCATAAAAAAGACGAAGATACATTCAGTGTTTCAGTGTTTAATAGCAAGCATTTGAAATCTCCTATATATTATTTGAGAATCATTTAAAAAATTATAACCTTAAATTTGTAAGAATTAAAAATAACCTTAATCTTACGTGCCATAACTTTTTGGCTTCTATTTCAAATCCTAAGGATTCTAGAGCATGTGATATAATGTATAATTTAAAAATTATATTATCTAACAATGTAATATTCCGTAGGTCGCATATATCAAATATTTATTGTTTCGCATGCTTTCCTTAAATAAAACCTACGAATTTAGCTAATGTGATCAAAATATATATATGACAATTAATGATTTTAAACAATAAAGATTTGATAACAATTTGCATACTTTTTTCATTTTGTTTATTTCTTTATTATTAAAATAAATTATACAATTACATTAATTATATAATAAAAATCTAGATATTTTTGTGTGTATGTTGTATTTCGAATTTTTTAAAATGAGTATAAATTACTAAAACTGTTAAAAGTCCCACATAAACTTTTAAGATCAAGGTTTTATTTTTTTTTTCTATACTAAAATATAATGATTATAAGACCATATGAAAAAATAATTTTAGTTTATATATATTTAATATCATTTTAATTAAACTATACATCGTATGAAAATACATACTTATATTTTGATATTTGCCTTGAACATATATTGAAAAGTTAATATTTTAATTTTGAAATATGTCATTGTTTTTTTAAAATGATTATAAATTATTGAAACTACTAAACATCTCACATTAAAAAAAATTCGTTGATGTAAAGTTTTGTTACACAAATATGCAAATAATCATAAAATCGTATGAGTAGAAACCTCATTTAATAAATATCTATATTAAAAGTGTGTTATATTACTATGTTTATATCATTTAAATTTAATTATATATCATATACAATATATAAAATTGATTATTTTGATTTATTTAACCTAATTGTGAATAAACAAGAGTAATAGTTAAATTTATATGCATACGCCAATTTATTACATAATAGTAACTGATCTCTTAGTTATTTAATATATATTTATTATTTTATTATTTATAATATGCAGAAAATATAAAATAATAATAAATATAAAATACCTATTGTGCATAAAGTGCAGATCTTAACCTAAGTATGTATCTCTTTAATTATTTTAAATCTTAAGTATTTTCTAAAACAAACAAAATGAGAATAAAGTTCAAAATAAATATTTATATCGAGTAATAACAAAATATAAAAAAAAATAGCAAGAGAAAAATGGAAGATAAATAGGACTGACACGTGAATGTAAACTTCTCATAACCATAATTAATTTTTAAATTGTTAAATCATGATATAAAACTGAGTTAATTTTTAATTTTTTTAAATCATTATGGTTATGTTAAATCATGACCATAATTAATTTTAAATTGTTTATTTGGATTTGAGAAACTTAAAATATTGTTTTTAAAAATAATTTAAAATTTTACATAATTTTTTTATAAATTATTTTAAAAACTAATAATTTGTAAAAAATATAATTTTCTAATATTATTAGAGAGATAAATAAATTATATTAAATTAGTTTTGAAAATTTATATATTTTAAATGAAAATATTTTACCAAGTGCTTCTTAAAAACCATTAGGGAACTTGCTAATACTCTACCAATCAAGTCCAGTGACACTCCATTTATGTTTCATCACCCGAACACTGAAAAGTGAAAGATATATGAAATCATATCCATTAATTTTTAAGATTTGATCTACGTTTCTAACTAAAATTGTTTCTTATCTTACGTATAGATAATTATATAAAAATTTCAAAATTCTTAAATTTCAAATACATACAAAAACAATCATACGTAAATTTTAAATTTGTCAATACTAAAATTTTATATTTTAATTACATATATTTACTCTGCGCAAGGCGCAGGTCTTATCCTAGTAGCCGATTATTGTACAAACATATGTTTTGTGAAACTTGTGAATGAATTTAGTACACACACTATACAAATACAAATTACGTTTTTATTTGGTTTTAGTTCTTTTATAGTATACGTTTCATTCTCTTCGTCTACAATATATTACTTTCGTTTTGGATGTACATGGCGTTTTAAAAGAACATGTTTGTTCCAACTTAGGTGACATTTTAAAATTTTAATAGAAAATTTCTAACATTTTATGTTATATGATTATTTTTATTGGTCAAATTGTATTTAAATGAATAATTAATGACATATTTTTTTAGAAAAAAATACTCTTTAATTTTTTTATTTTTTTGTCGGCTAAAAAAAATAAAAATAAATAAATACTCTTTAATATATGTGCACAATTTTTAAATGTTAAATAATAAAAAAGAAGAAAAATGGAGAAGTATAAAATTTACTCTTGTGCTTCTTCTTTTTTTGTCACGCAATTTACTCTTTTGCATCAAAGTAGTTTTAGCCACTTTGTAACATTTTTTTCTTTCAAAATCACCAATTAATATCTCTGTATTTTTAATTCTAAAATTTACGAAAAGTAACACTTTCTAATGATATTCCTAAGCTAGAAAACAATACGAATAGGTAGTATTTAAAATAATAAAATTAGTTTGAAGAATCTCTTATTGACATGAAAAACAAATTGCACGAATTTATTTCCTGTATATAAGAACATGTTTATTAGATGTTTCTTAAGATTGAGTCTCTTAACATAATATAAGATACATTCTTTTAGTTTTTAACTGAAAATCTAAGAAACGTTTCTTAAATAAGATATATAAGAAACGTCTTTTATTTTTTTCAATTAATAGTTAAGAGACCGTATCTTATATTATAACGAGAGATTCAATCTAAAAAGCATGTAATAAACATGTTCTAAGTATTTTTAGGTGTAAAAGGTACACATAATCAAAATCTATGATGACCTTAAGTTTTTTTTAGATCAAAAAAATGGTTTCACTTTTTTACTGGAAATCCAAATATTATAAATAATTATTTTTAATGCGATTTGAACTCATGTAGTTTGTAAGTTTTTTGTTTTTAAGAAGGGAAATCAGAACTATTTACAAGACCAAATTGAATAAAATTTCTTAAGTCAATATATTACAAACCCGACTTTATCCATTCACTAAATTTGGTACGTTCTGCCAATTTTTTTTTTGAAATTCTTAAGAATTGGTTATCGTTCTCAACTTTCCATGATAAGTGAGGTTCTCCTCATTACCTCAAATACCGTCTCCCAATGAACATCTCAAAACTTGTAATCATAACTGTCAGTAAGCTCGAAGGCAATGTAGAAAACGGTTAAGGAACACGGATCTTTGAAAATGCTCGATAATTAAGCTCCACAACTTCCACAACACCGAACTGCCGTAAGTTAGTAACACATCTTATAGGAGTACTATTCTTATACAGCTAAAGATAGTCGTCACACACTAGAGGTTAACTATATTTCTGTGATAAACTATACCGATTGATATTATTGGGTTGTGTAGCACGAGTGTTCCGTTGCACATGTGAAATGAATAGCGACTTTACGTAAAATCTACCATCACTTTAAGTGCTCCCTAAGCTTATAGAAAAAAACAATAGTCACCCTCTTTCTTTTTATTTGAATCATTTACAATAACATAATAACTCGTTCCATGGATCTGTTGGTTCATTTGGAAAGCGAGAAACGACTTACTTTTCAACGGGAAAGTCGTTCCCCCGTGGGACACCCTTCAGCATGCTGTTTTGGAGGCTGAATGCTGGAGGAAGGCGAATGAGAGAGAGGAAACAGATGACGTCGAGGTACATACTCGAGCCTCGGCTACGGAAGACACGACAGAGCCCCCTAGGATCCCCCGAATCCCTACCTGTCAAATCGATGCCTCATGGGTCGGTCATGGCAGCGTAAGTGGATTAGGATGGAGTCTAAAGGACCATATGGGCTCTGAGTGGTTTGGTTTACGTGCATGTCAGAGGACCCGCTCAGCTCTGCACGCAGAGATGGAAGCCCTACTTTGGACAGCTACATGCCTGAGAGACCTGAGGATATCATCGTTTCGGGTCGAAACTGACTGTTCCGACCTGGTGGACATGGCGTCTAACCCAGAGGACTGGCCGGCTTTTGCTACAGAGATTGAGCTGTTCTATAGACTTCAGGCAAGCTTCGACGATGTGCGTATTTCCCACATTCCTCGAAGTATAAACGTCAGAGCAGACGCACTAGCCAAAGAAGCAAGGAGTAGAGGTTGTGTTTTTTCCCATATAGATCAGACCAGGCCAGACGGAGGTGCTCCCCGGAGGATCGACTCGTCTGTTCACCACTTGATCTAAGTATAATGGGTGGCGGACAAAAAAAAAAAAAAAAAATAATAACTCGTTCAACTGACTGTAGTTCACTGATTCAACCCCCACGTCTCATATAACTTCGATTGTCGATTAGTTATGGGTATACCGTATATATATGCTTAAAATTAAGGAAAATTGCACCTTATAACTACAAAAAAAAAAAAAAACAAATTGGCTAACTAACCAAATTTCCCTTCTCTCTCTTCTATCCTTTTCCTATCTCTCTTTTATCTGTCTCTAAAAATTTAATTTTCTTTCTTTTTATGGCTATCTAATTTATTTTTATGGCTATTTCACAAATTAACCCTAAAATTAATAACTGATTTGTTAATAACTTAATACCAAAATAATGTTCAAGGGTAGGCCCCAAGATAAGAAAGTCCAAAGATCAATCACTAAGAGCATGTTTAATGGAAGTTGCTTAGAGAGTTGCTTAGGAGGAGAAGAGTTGCTTAATTAAGCACTTTTCACACTCTCTCTCTTCAAATTAAACACTCCTCTCCTCCTAAGTAACTCTCTAAGCAACATGCATTAAACATGCTCAGATGTAGGCCCAAACTAACTAACCTGATTCGTTATTTTGCCTCATGAAGCCCAAATCAAACATAGGTGTCGATTATACAATTCAAGAGAAATAAGATGCTTATGCAAAATAATTTAAATTCAAGGGGTTAAAATGCTATTAACCCGTTTATATTTCAGTTTGCTTAGTTCGTTTTGCAATCAGACGCGGATCTGTGAGATCTAGAGGAAGAAGAAGGAAGCAATCAAGCAATGGCAGCCATGGGAGGAGGAGGACCAGATCATCTCTTCAATCTAAGAAACCAATTCTATCTAGGAGCGTATCAAACAGCGATCAACAACAGTGAGATCCCTAACCTCTCGCCGGAAGACGCCGTGGAACGCGACTGCCTCGTCTTCCGCTCATACATCGCTCTCGGTAGCTATCAGGTTTCTCTAATCCCTCTCTCTATTGATCTTCGATGATGTCTCGTCTTTCTAGATTGGCTGATCTGTTATTTTTTTCGAATTTTTGTTGTTGTTGTTTAAAGCTTGTTATCAGCGAGATCGATGAATCCGCAGCTACTTCACTGCAGGCAGTGAAATTATTGGCTATGTATCTCTCGAGTCCTGCTAATAAGGTGATTTGGAAATATTCGGTTTCGTTTTGGATTTTGATTTGTGTTTGGAGAGATGTCTATAGGAGAATCTCTGAAACGTGGTTGAATTAGAAATTTGAGATTGAATCGGAGAAGAAGATGAACAGTACAAGCTGAAATGAAACTCGAGAGATCGTGATTTTTCTCGGAAAATTGAGGTTTCGTGGGAAAATTAGTTCAACATATATGCTCTGATACTATATTAAAACTCGTGTATATGATCACCTTCTCTTTAACTTGCATCTGAAGCTTTACAATAGCTTATATACGGAGTGTTAAGTGAGTGTGTGCCGTACACGCGTTGTTATGTACATGTGATAGTTGATGACAGTTAGCTATGTTCAAGAAACTGATAGACGATAATTAGACTCTTTGTAGAGGATTAGCGTCTAAGACTGATTTTTTTTTTTCTCGCTTATGACCAATTTTTTAGCTTAGGTATCCCAACCTTGACTAGCGGTGATTACATATTAGTAGAATGGATGTTTAATTTCTGTGTGTTTTGATCAGCAATCAACCATTTCAAGCTTGAGGGAATGGTTGGCAGATTCAACAATAGGAAACAATGCTACTTTGCGACTGGTTGCTGGTATTGTTTTCATGCATGAGGAAGATTATAGTGAAGCTCTGAAGCACACTCATGCTGGAGGAACTATGGATCTGTAAGCCTTTTTCGATCATTCTCTTGCTGGAGTGTAGTGATTTGTTATGTTTCCATAAGCTCAAACATTGTTCATTGTTCTTGAATTTTTAGGCATGCATTGAATGTCCAAATATTCATTAAGATGCATAGATCAGATTATGCTGAGAAGCAGCTTGGAGTTATGCAACAATATGATGAAGACCACACTCTAACTCAACTTGCTACCGCGTGGTTTAACCTGGCAGTGGTATAATGACATATTTGCATTTTGGTTTTGACTAATTATATAAAGAATCCATTTTTTTATTTTCTAGACCACGTCGTTTTATGTTTTCAGGGTGGCTCGAAGATACAGGAAGCTTATCTCATTTTCCAGGATTTCTGTGAGAAGTATCCCATGACATGCTTGATCTTGAATGGAAAAGCAGTTTGCTGTATGCAAATGGGTAACTTCGATGAAGCTGAATCACTTCTCCTTGAAGCACTCAACAAGGTAACTGATTTCTCATATTGGACTCGCTTTATTGGCATAGCTGTGATATGGGCAATCGTAAAAATTAGTTTGTGGTGATTGCAGGATGCTAAGGACCCAGAAACTCTTGCAAACCTTGTAGTGTGCAGTCTTCATGTTAGCAAATCATCTTCTCGTTACTTAAGGTAGAATATGCGTCACCTAAGCTAGTTGAGAGTAATGCTGTCCTAAATCCTGATAAAAAACATTGGTTACTCTCACTTACTGTGTCCCATTTTGTATCTCCTATTGTTCTTTTACAGCCAGCTGAAACTATCACACCCAGAGCATGTGCTTGTGAAGCGTGTATCATCAGCCGAAGATAACTTCGAGAGAGCAGTTCAATCTGTGGCCTGAAGACTATTCCATTAAAGCTGTGCAGGATCGGTTTGCTTTACCACATATATTCCCATGCCAGAATAATCTTTGTCTTGTCTTATTTCTTTTTGAAATCAGTATATGAACCAGATATTGCCATTGGGTTTGTTACATTTACCATTTCATTACTTCAAAATACAAAGCTCCACCGTTCATTCTCTTAGTCTTAACCTAACCTAATTGAATTCATATCCATGCATGGATTCATATCATCTCCACGGCCAAAATCATGATAAAAAATTTGTAACAAAGTGAAACTATAGCATAAAACCATAAACACTGAACAAAAATCGGTTCGGTTTAGTAGTCGGTTAGTTCTTTTTTTTTTTTCCATTAAAAAAAATGTCACCGGAGCAAATAAAAATAGAGTAATATGGGCCAATAACCATTTCTCAGAAAAAAAAGAGCAAATAACCATAGTAACCTAATGGTTATGCTATGATATATAATATGCCATTTATTCTCCATTCTATCCTCAACATGCGCGTAGATGTGAATCGTCAATTTTTGTCCCTTTTCTTAAACTCTGTACTATGTACTGCATTGCATAGTATAGCGTATTGGATTGCCAATTTCTTAAATACATGGTGTACTATTTCCTTTCAACGGAACTTAAACATGACACTCTATGTGTCTGTATTGTATTATTATATTGTGTAATACATGTTTTGTAAGTTTGGCTGTTCAAATACATCTCCTATAATGTATATGCTACTGCTTTGTATTATTGTTCTGTGTAATACATGTTAAGTAGGCTATATATTTTCTTTTATAGTAGACAATCTTGTTTAATTGTATTCAGTATTATTAACATGTTAATAGTATAGGAATACAATATGGTGAGCACAATTAAATTGGGTTCCGTAGCATAATTGTTTCAGCTTCTAATTGTTAAGACTATACTATATGAATCAATTTAATAGAATAGAATCAGTAAATAATACAACATATATTATTCTAAATTGTATTAGTTTTGTATGTTTTTTACCTCCTGCTCATTCTCCTTCACTATTCCACTAACTCCACTATCTTTTCCTTCATAATTATTGTCACTCATCACCATCCCAAAATCAAATGTTGGGTTGGCACTGGAGAAGAAAAATGTTATTTGTCAATAGTTCAATTCTATAATGTTGCAACAAATAGAATAGAGTGTAGATTCATGGTAATAGTAAAAGTTGTATATTACTTTTACAATTTTTATTCTTCTCTTCCCTCCCACTCACCCTTTTTTCCTCCCTTCCCCCCTCCTCCCTCCTTCATTCTCAAGTATTCTATACTATGTTCTAATCAAGTATTCCTTCCTCTCTTTCCTCCCACTCACCCCCTCTCTCTCCCTCCCCCATCCTTCCTCCCTCCTTCTCAAGTATTCCATACTATGTTCTAATCATGTATAGTATAGTCTGAAATCTAAAAGTTGTATATCAATTTTACAATTTTTCTTCCTCTCTTCTCTTCTTCCCCCCCTCCTTCTCTCCTTCTTAAGTATTTCATACTCTGTTTTAATCATGTATAGTATAGTCTGAAATCTAACTTTGTAACAAGTAAATACAAATTAACTTACTATACTATACGATATGTAGTATAGTATGATAATTTTAGTTTCTGAGCATCAACTTCACGCGCACACGCTAAAAGGAGAATTCGGTCAGGTTTGTGTGCAAATTGTCACATCCCCTGTAGTATGGCTATATTCTTAATTTTTTCATTTCTTATGTATATTGAGCAAATCATCCCATAAAAATAATATCTGAAATATATAAAATGGGTCTGGTCCGCTGGTAATATTATGACCGCAGACAGAAAAATGGCGGTTTCATCTCATCTCTTTGCAATCCCATCGCGTCTTCATGCATCTTCTTCTCCGTTTATCTGTAACATAACATCCTCAGTTCCTCATCCTCAACATTGTTTGTATTATCCTCTTTTCTTTTTCTGACACACGTGTTTCATTTTTAGCCGCACCAAACCGGAACCGGAATCAAGTTCGTATCCTCGCCAAATCATGCCCAGACAATCAGAGCTTCGGTTCAAACGATTCAGATTCTTCACCGGAGACCACCAACGAAACCCAGGTTCAAAGTCTGAGTCTTTATCAATATTAAATTCACTATGTTTGCTGTTTTAATTGATGCTTAGAAGATGTTCAAGTTTTAGTCTTTACTGCTACAAATTGATTAAATCAGCATTAGTGTATGTATTTTCATGTTACTAGTCAGCTGTAAATTGGGAGCTGTAGTTTAGAATCTGCACTTGTATTTGCAAAAATCTCAGAGTCTTCTTAGCTGGCTTGTGTTATTGGCTGCAGGGGAATCAGAAATCGATGTCACGAAGACAGTGGATGATGACATGTGTGTGCTTATCTCCAGCTTTAATTACCAATGCTTACACCTTTGTCTCTGTACAAAACGCAGCCGCTTTAGACAAGAAACCAGGTGTTTGCCGTAACTGTCAGGGCATTGGTGCCGTTCTTTGTGAGTTACATACACTTTCTTTGCTTACTATTTACTCTTATAGTTATATACGATTACTCTGCTTAAGATGACATCTTGCTTTGTTAACAGTGATAATGATTCTCTGTTTCCCATTTGATATGCTTCAAAATGCCTCATGAGCTTAATATTGTGTTTATATGATTTAGGTGATATGTGTGGGGGTACAGGAAAATGGAAAGCTCTCAACCGAAAACGAGCCAAAGATGTATATGAGTTTACAGAATGTCCAAACTGTTACGGTTTGTCTCTCTCTTTCCAAACATTTCTTTTAATATAGTTTGGTTTTGGGATTCCATGTCTGATTTGGTTGGCAAACAGGTCGAGGCAAACTTGTTTGTCCGGTCTGTTTAGGTACAGGTTTACCTAACAACAAAGGACTTCTTAGAAGGCCTGGTGCTCGTGAGCTGCTCGACAAGATGTACAATGGTCGGCTTCTTCCCAATTCATGAGCAGGTATACGTCTGTTTATGAGTTAAAAGCTTGACGAGGACAAGTGTGTCACTCTTTCTAATTTTTACCTATTGAAATTTTCGCAGATGGTTACTGACTCTACTAAGCACAGAGGCAATAGACATGATTATAGAAGAGGAAAAGAACTAATACATTGTGGAGGCATGGAAAACTATATGAGAATGGGATTCAAGAACATGTTTTTTGTAATGCTGCTAGCTTTGTGTTGTAAATTCTTATAAACCTAAAAGTATTCTTCCTCCTCAGACAGACTTGGCTACTCGATTTCACCTTACCTCCATCTGAGAGACTAGTTTCAAGTGTTATCAGGAACGAGATCAACTTTACAAGATCTAAACAGAGGAGAGTACAAAACTACTTAGCAAAGGCAATCAGTTCTGTCTACACGCAACTTGTAAGACTAACAAACTACATCAGTACTTGAACAATGCCATTCAACAATTCAGTTTAACAAATTCATCAGATTTGTCTAAGTGTATTACCATGAACATTCACAGCACTTATTTGTGCCTTCTAGACCTTTTTATTCATGTGCTTTTGACCTGGGTTAGGCCTTTGTCATGCACATATGCTTATGTCCTTTAGTCTCTTATCAATCTCACTAGTAAGTTTCACCAATTCTTGCTTCTCTGTTGAGTCAGAGATGATGAAACTTACTAGTTTTTTTTAACCTTCTTATACCTATTGTTTTCAACATATGTATATATATAGTATCAAGATCAAACAATGGGAAATAACATTTTAAAAGAACGACATAGGGTTCTATCAAGATCTACTAAAACATCAATATTTAGTTCAAAAAAGAAAAAAAAAGATTTACTAAAACAGAGTTTCAATATGATCAGATCTCCTAAGAGAAAACGCTTCTAAGTTTTAAAACTAAAGTTACTCTTTGTTCATGATTCAGAAGCTTGATCAGAGCAAATAATAAACTAAACAAAGTCTAAAAAAAGTCATTAATCCAACAACAAACAATTACGAATAAAAACAAGAAAAGGTTGGTGAGCTCTATCTCTTCTTGTCAATAGTCTTTTTCCTTTTTCAGGTTCATGAGTTCAAATCGATCCCAAAATGTTTTCCTCTGTTTAAGCTCAGGGAAGTGTTTGACTTGAAGCAATCTTTTTCAATGGCCTGGTAATAAAGATGATTAGTTATGTAAGAAAGATCATCATATTCCATATGTTATATATATTTACCTGAATTATAGTCGGGGAGAGAAAACCAAACATTTGTAACCCGTTGATGCTTTCCAAAGTATGAAGCTTATCTTCATGGCTGCTTCGTTTCTTGATCTCTTCGTTAACTCTATGCAACACCATGTCCCAGCATGCCTGAGTTGATCTAGCAGAGAAGCTCACGTCTTGAGATTCTTCTAGACTAACCTGAAACGATAAAGAACAACGTAACGCAATTATATATATTTTCCAAGTGTTAGCATAAACTAATAATAAATTTGTGAAAGTCTTTTTTTTCCTTTTACCCTGAAGAGTGGACCCATAAATCCTCCATGATCTACAACCTCAGAGATGTAGTAGCTCATTTTCGTTGGATCTTTTACGTTATAGAACTTAACCTTACTTTTGAACCCTGTAAAACAAAATAATTAGTAACCCAACTTAATCTCTCTCAACTTAAGTTCTTTAGGGTATAATTAACCCGGTGTCTTAGCCGGGATTCTTAATGATTTGACATTTTTTTTACATTTTTAAGTGACAACTCTTATATCTCTTATTTAAGAGACGATTATTAGTTTTTCTTAGATTTTAGCTAAGAAAACGAAGAACCGTCTCTTAAAACTAAGAATCACCGTTAAGACACCAAGGTTAATCATGTTCTTGAAATATATTAGTGTTTGAAGAGTTGCACCTTTTGGAATGTTACTCAAAATCGCTCCAGAAACCAACCCTAGATTTATAGGCTTCACATCGGCAACAAAGCTCTTCATGGATCCATCAGTGCGTGTATCTGAAGTATTATTAAACTCGTCATCCACTTGAAACTCAACATTCAGATCAAAACCATGAGGTTCTCTCTTCTGAGTCTTTGAATAGTCTTCTATAACCTTAGAAGCCCAATTTTTTAGATCCTCTACTTCACCTTCTAATGCTCTAACCAATGAGCTCAACTCATCAATGGTGTAACGAAGAAGTATGAATCTACCCTTCCCTCCACATGAACAAAGCTCGCTAGCGTGCTTAGTGCAAGCATAATCTCCAGGAGAGCATTTGTTACAGCCAGCTGCCGTGAGATGCAAGTCATAAGAGCACTTACTGCATTCCCTTTCACATTTTGAATCAAAATCCTTCTCCATCTTTATCAAGCAGAAACCACTTCCAAGAGCATTAATCCTTCCTTCTTCCATACGTAACCGCGTCTCGACTGCTTTAGTAAGAGTTCCATTCTTCCCACAGAAACTTCTCCATCTTAACCTCTTTGTACTCTCTTCCCCACCAGCTGAGAGGGACCTAACAGCTTCATGAGCTGCTCCAAGGAGAAGCTTGTCATGAGAGACAGATGTTTTCTTATTTTCTTCACTGTATAACTCTACAGCATTCTGTCCATGAGGTAACCAATCAACGGGAGCGAAATTCACAGCTTCTGCACAGTTGAAACCGGAGTTGAAACCAGCATGATATGCCCTAGGGAATGTTATAACGTACTCTCCTTGATGCTGAACCGCCCGATAAACCGGGACTCCCTCATCTTTTAAAATGGAAGGTGAAAACTGAGTAACAAGTACATGGAGTAGATCAGGTGTTTCTTCGAAAAGATCTGGTAAATATTTCCTCATGGTCTTCTCTAGTGACGTTGCATGGCTTCCAGGAACTCCATACCACACTTTTGGCTCACCAAAGTGATGATAGTTAATTGAATATAAGTGATGGTCCTCCACATGCTGTTACATTTCAAAGTTATCAATACACTATCAAGCTGAAGCTAGAATAATTTAGCAAAATAAAATAAAATAAAATTTATAAAAAATAATTTGACATTGTAACATTTACCCAGCAAAAACTTGAAAAACACATCCCAACATAGAGCCATGGAACGAGAACACCTGAGATATCACCACGCTCGAAGGAGAGTAAAGAACCAGAGAGACGAGGTAAGTTGTTCAAGTTCCAACCAGAAGTTATGTATCGGTCTACATCAATGTTTCCGGTTAAATTTCCTCTTTCAAACCCACTTCCAAGAACCCGGTTCTCCAAATCAGCTCCATAATATACCTGAAACTCGTAATCAAGTTAGTGGTGATTTTATTTTTTTAACAACGAAGTAATTGGTTTAAAAAAATATATATACCTAAACTCGTAATCAAATAAAAAGACTATTGACACAAAAAAAAACATTACAAGGCTACTGTTTAATTAGTTAATAAGTACCTCAACTTCATCTGTTTGTTGCTCAACGATCCGCCAGTATTCTCCTTCAATTTCCTCAACCGTTGGAGACCATTTTGTATCTTCAAAGTAGGTGTCCTTGAAGTACCCGTCGTACTTCTCAAACTCCTCAAGAGTGAAGTCTGAGCCAGAGTTGAAACCAAAACTTTCTTCTTCATTCGTTTCAGGAGATGAAACTGAAGCAGAAACAGAGCTAGGTGGTTGTCTGTTGGAAGAAAACGTCGTTGCGGTTCCTCTTCGTTTCCGTTTTTTTTCCTTAGGTTTCTTTTTCGTCATGGGCGCTCTGTTCTGAAGCAGTTCAATGCTCTGAATCCGCGTGTGGAACTTTGTATCCTTCCATATACGTTTCTCTTTAAGCCGACAAGGAGGAGACCAGTTCGACGGTGGTATTATACGACAAATACCAAATATTTCAGCAAATGGACGTATCTTTGCTATGTAAGCAAGTGTATCTTCAAACTCCTAAACACCAAAAGGGGGTTACAATAAAATGAGGAAGAATACAAAACTTGGATTAAAATCTATGAAAACAAGATGGAGAGCAAGCACTACCTCTAATGAAGGGTAGAAAGCTGGAGCGTCACCAATGACTGGCCTCTGCGGTTTAGCTGGATCCCATCTAGCATGAACCTATATATGTTATGAAAAATGAGATTTTATAAACCTTTTTGGGAGTAACATCAGTGCTCTGTACTCAGTAGCAAGTGGAAAAGTTTGGTCTTACCTCTCGATGACGAGGACTGTTAGGAGGTTCTACATTAGTGTCCTTGTCCTGAAAATTATTAAAAGGAAAAAATTATTCCTGGAAAAATCTAAGTCACCTAATGATTGATGAAAATATAAATGAAATACAAATAGGACTCATGGTGAACTATCCAAACCATGTTCAGTCCCAACAAAATTTGTGACTAGGGATAAATTATAAAATTCATCATCACGAGTCCCAATAAAATTGGGACTCCGGAAAAACTATAAAAGTCATTCTCAGTCGCTCATATTTAATTATAAAGCTCATCATCGCAAGTCGCAAAAAAAAAAGATCAGACTCAGAAATGAACGATAAAAGTCATGATGATTAACATTGGTAAATCAACTTAAGAAATGGGGTTACATTTAAAGCCTATTATACAGTCTCAATATTGTTAAATCAAGTATGAGATATAGAGTAAGATCTGTAGCACTAAGCAATAAACCACATCGAGAACTCGCGATTAATCGATAAATCGCTCTTAAAGCGAAGAAGATACCTCTTTGATCTGAGATGATTCTGCAGAAACCATTGAGTTAAAATCAATCACTTCACTCTACAATACCAGATGACCCTTATAAGAACTGAGAAATACAAAGATGTTAGCAACCAAAGGATCAAAGAACCCTAGCCTTGGATCCTATTCACAAAACAATGTATAGGGGTTCATGAGACACATAGGCTTAGGGTATTCATTATATAGATAAGGAAAACAAAAACTGAAGATTACATACCAATCACAATGACAACTCAATATCTCTTTTCCTCAACTGAGGTATAAAAAAAGAATTGAAATGGCAGTTACAATAAATAAATAAATAACCAAAACAAAGCTAAAATGATTAATTAACCTATTTAATTAGTAGCAATAAATTAGAAGAAGCATCACAACATAATTTGATTAAAGGTTTATTAACGCTTTTATACTAGGAAGTCTAGAGTTCAAACCCCGAAAAATAAAAATTATGTATATTATAGAGAAAATGGTTACAAAATATCTCATATGGTGCAATGAATATCATATATGTGATACTAGGTGATTATCATATGTTGATGTAATGATATAAATATCAACAAAATGATATATCGTAATAATTGGTTACAATTTTATTTTACAAGTTAAATTATTTTATAATTTACATGTATGATCTTGTATAAATAATATTATGTTATTTAATTAATTAGACATGTGAATTTAGATATCTAGTGTCTAGTCGGTTTAATTATTTATTTAAGTATATTATATTGCATCAACATTTTGTTGCTATTACTATAATTATTCTTATGATTAGATTTTTAATATTTTAAAATACTGGATTAGTCCCTTTATTCATTTTATTGGTATATTGAGTTAGACATACTTCTTTAATTAGAAATACATCTATTTTATTTTAATTAATTAAACAAAATGAGATCAGTTTTATTCAATGCACGCAGTTTGGTTATTTCATATATGATTTATAAATATATTATCATTTTTTGTATATTTGATGTTGACTTAAAAAAACAATAAGAAAAAATAATTTTATGATCAATACAAAATTATATAAATGAACATACCCGATATAATTTTCGAAAGTTAATGAATGGATTTCAATATTTGCAATATAATTAAAATATTTGTAATATTTTAAGTAATTTATATTTTGATGTATAACGCTAAATTAAAAACAATATTAATAATTTAAACATAAGAATTCATATTAGTTTTGGTATTCTTATTAAGGAGACATTGAGTGGTATATATAAACTAAAACTTAAAATCAAACTAAATATTAAGAAAAAAATGTTTTGAAAATGGTAAAGTTTTGATATTGATTTATAATAATTAAAAATATTTCTGTAATTATTTTATTAAAATAGACATATAATCGAAAAATTAGTTTCATTTTCTAATAAATATTATCTTGCTTAAAATAATTTTTTCAAATACATTATTTAATATTAAATAAATACCTAAACAATTTTGTGAATTGTTTGAGAATTTTTTTTTCAAATAAGAGCAATATTAAGTACTTTAACTTTTTAAAAATAAATCCCCAAAAAGAATTTGTTGTAAAATTATTTTTTGAGAAATCAAGTTATATAAGAAAATATTAATATACTTTTAAAATTTATAGATATTATAATTTATGTAGATTGAAAAAATATAAAGAAATCAAATCACATTTAATTTTTGTTTAGAAAATTATTATGCAAAACATATGTAAAACACTCAGTAATATTACTTTTTAAATAGTTTTAGTTAATTTAAGAAGTTACCGTTTATATTATGTTATCTAAGTTAGTTTTTATCATATGAAAAATAGCTTGATCTAAAGAAAATATTGTTACTACTTTTAAAATCTAAATTATGTTATTAAAATTATTATTTTTTAAGAATATAATCTAATATTAAGATTATTTTTTGTGAGCTTTCCTTTTTTTGTGAAATGAAATTATGTATGTGATATATTTAAGTTAAATTCTTTAAAAAAAGATCCTGTAAGAAATTCCAGTTTATGTTATCTAAGTTAGTTTTGATCATATGAGAATATAGCTTGATACAAAGAAACTATTGTTTAAAGTGTATATTATTTTATTAAGATTATTTTTTTAAAAAGAATATATTCCAATATTAAGATTATTTTTTGTGAGCTTTCCTTTTTTTATGAATTATGTATGTGATATATTTTATTTAACATTTAAAAAAAAATCATATAATAAATTTTTTCTTGTGAAATTTCATTTTTTATGGAATCAAATTATCTATGATACATATTTTCTTTTTAAAAAATTATAGTTCATTAATTAATGTTTACTTTTATGATATGTAATTTATAAAAATAATAAAGAAAAGGAAAACTAAATTAGGTGGAAAAATTTAATAATGAAAATTAGATATAATATTATTAAAGATATCTATGTAATCAACCGTCGCAAGAATTAACGTGAGTGCTACACGTCGGAAACTAACTTTTCTCAAATTATAAAGATTTCTATTTTAATAGTATAATTAACTAAATGTTAAAAACGTAATTTTGTATATATATATATATATATAGTTTAATTTAATTGATATATTATGGTTCATTTGATTTGATTATATTTATTTGGCATAGGAAAAAAAAGGTTTTAGATTGCAAATTAAGTTTGATTTTCGATGAATGAATCTGGTTTGGCGCGGTCCAGGAAAATACGAACTAGGAAGAGTATTGAATCTTCATTCTTCACCCTAAAGTTCTTCTATCTTCCGTATTTTACCCTCTACGTTTAAATACAACTAAAAAGTACACCTTGCTCTGCTCGAATCAAAAGTGGATCAATCTTCATGGTTATTTACGTACGTGACTATCAAGATTGGATTCACGCGGAAAAGAAAAACAACAACAGTTCTTATGTTTTAAATCTTGACGTCGAAGTTTCTATCTAGTTTTTTTTTTTTAATTTTTTGTAAAAAAATTACTATCAGTTAATGACTAATGCTTCTTCACAGTTCATGAATAACATATATAGAACTTGAACATAGAGGTTATCTCGCGTCAAAGAACAAAGCTATACAAGAGGTTTCACAGTACATATACCCTAACTATTAGGAAAACTACTTCTACCAAATCCTAAATGGTGGTGAATAAATAGTTCTTTTTTTTTAATAGTATTTCTTTGGCAACATTTGTTTCTCGTTATTGCCAAGAACTTTGTTTTTGTTAAGAAATGAAGATGGTGGTTGGGACATATCCGGAAATGGACCAGACCACATCAGTCTACTTCAGTCCCAAGACTAGGCGGCCAAGACTTGTCATTATCCTCCCTTGTATTTATCCATATGTTGTAGATATCCTAATCATTATAGGATTAGGATAATCATCCCCTTTATTTGTAGCAATCCTTATCTCCTA